ATCAAAATTAAATGGCATCATTGTAGTCCTACCACTAGGTTCTTTAAATTGATTCAAAAGCGTCTGTTTCTTGCATTGTTTACAATTGCTTTGAGCACGTTATTAATTCTTTGTAGCTTGAAATGCTGCCACACTGTAGAGGTCAATTTTCTTTTTCTAATTTCCTCAGTCGGCTCCTCATCATCACCTAAATCTATATGAGTAGGATTTGCATTTACCTCACTTGGATTTTGTGAAGTATCCATTGTACTTGATGTATCATCTTGAATGCTAGTAGCGGTATCTCCAACTTCAACTGAATCACTTCCAACTGAAGCGGGAGGAGTCGGAACAGAAGATGCACACCCATAGCAAGACATCTAGGCCACCAATCAATATATTTTTAATAAAATTGTTTATTCAACATTATCATAATCCTAGAAGTAGAATAAACTAAAAAACTATATAAATCAATACTGCATCATTATTGAACATGATGTATTAGTGTAAACAATAAACATTCAGTTCTTGAGAGCAAAGAAATCTAAGTCTTCAAATCCACTACATATCTTCAAAAAATCTCTCTTTTATTAGAAGCTATGAATCATGAACGGCCAGAGTGAAACTGACGAGGGCGACGACGGATTTGAGTGGAGGAGAAGTGTAGTCTGGAGACTGTAAACCTGAGTTTTAATTTAATGTGTAGGGTATATTGAAATTGGGCTACTCGGGCAGTGGGCTGGGTTATTGAGTTAATGTTTACTTAATGTTAATTGTGCTAGAATTCAGGGAAGCTCAATTGTCAAAATTACTTAATTAATTTTGAGAAAAAATAATGGAAAGTCCAATTGTCCAATTAATTTTTTTTAAAGGGTAATCGATTCGGAACGAGACACCATCGCTAAATACTATACCCGACCCTAAATGAAGCGGTTCACTAAAGTCAAAACCATAACCGCCCCCCATTGCACCATTGAGTCAATTTTTTTCGTCCCATTCAATTAGGTTAACCGCAGTTTTCGGTTTTAACAGTTCGAATTGCCATCTCTAGTTTTGGTGAACCTCAAAATTTAAATTTTTTAAAGCACAAGTTCAACCCAGTTTGACCCTTTGAACCTTTACTCTTGAATTAATGCCCAGGTTAATTCTCAGAACCTTCTTTAGTTCTCAACTGAAGTGTGACGGAGAGGAGAGGAAGTGATAAGAAACCTTGGTGGGGTATCTAATATGAGGTCCAAATCTCACCAATCAACCTCAGTGGATAAGAGAACAATCCAGATAACACATTCCTATTGGTTCTCATTTCTTTCACTTGACTGCATCCCTATATTCCATTTTCTCACAGCAGCATATCCCAGTTGAACATCAAGTCTTGCTTAACACCTCCCTTAGCCCTACCAAGAACTGCATCAATGGCAGCTACAATATCTACCATGGCTATGCTCAATGCCAAGTGCTTAGGCACCATCACCAAGTGTTTAAAGCCCACCACAAAACCAATTTCTCTTCTCTCCATGCAGAACCTCCCGAAAGGCCTTGCCGCCTCAATATCATCGGAAAACTCTGGTCTGTTGGCCAGAACCGCCCTTGCAAGTGCCATTTTCTCAACATTGAGCTCATGTGATCCTGCCCTTGCAGCACAACAGATTGCTGAAATAGCTGAGGGCGATAACCGAGGACTTGCCCTTCTGATTCCCATCATTCCGGCAATAGCTTGGGTTCTCTACAACATCCTGCAACCAGCACTTAACCAGATCAACAAAATGAGAAACACCAAAGGAGTTATCGTAGGACTTGGCCTAGGTGAGTTGGCCTCATGGAGTTTGATGCAGCCATCAGATGCATCAGCTAGTGAAATTGCTATGATTGCTGATGCTGCAAGTGACAACAGGGGACAGCTTTTGCTGTTTGTCATTACTCCTGCCATTCTTTGGGTGCTGTACAATATTTTGCAACCAGCTTTGAATCAGATCAACAAGATGAGATCACAGTGAGAAGGGTTATATCTTTGTAGGTGCAGTAACTTGGATTAATTACAAGTAATTGCACCAGTATATTACTGAATTTTCCCTATGAGCATTTTCCTCTCTTGGACCATTGCTTCTGATTTTAGTATGATCAGTTCTATATAAATACAAATCCAAAGGTCATTATATCTTCTTGAAAAAAGCAAGAATAATAAAATGAAAGAACAATATGAAGGCAGTACTGAGTAAAAAGCCAACCACATTTTGCATCATATGTGAAGAAACTAGCATAAAATAAGTATAAAGTCAATTGTTACAAACATAGCAGGCAGCCAGGTATGCATCGTCCAGATAAAAATATGCATTCCTATCCTGAATGCATGCTCACAAAATTTTGATTGCCGATTGGGCTAAAATTCAGAATCTTGCCACAGATCACAAAATTTAACATTACCAAGAAAACAAAAGTATTTCCGCAGGTCGACACACAAAACACTCATGTGTTTACTTGACTGTCAGGAACAAAATCTACTGGCTGACTTTCAGCGTCTTCAAGCACTTGTTGAGTAGCTATGTGCTTAGCTTTCTTGAAGCTGGCAGAGCTTCTGAGAAGCATATCCATGGTTATATTCTTCTGGCCTGATAAACTGTGCAACAATAATTGCAGGGTTCAACAGATTTTAAGATAACAAATTTATCATGCAGTGCTCTATATAATACAATGGAAGATTCTAGACATTCAAGAACAAACATCCAAATATTGTCTCGTAGTTCAGTTATCCATATTAGAAATGAAACATCCTACAGGCAATTAATTCTGAGATAATACAAACAAGTATTGAAGATGCACGGATTGTTTAAGCCACCTTTTAAATTTAGCAACAGATGACAATGAAATATCACATTTTACCGGGTTGGATTTTTGGAATAACTTGGCTGAAGGCTTGGGGCAACTTCTGCATATTCTAGACAAAGAAGAAAATTATAGACACAGATTCTCCCTCAACTATTGGATTATTTTCTTGAGTTCTTAGTTTTCTACTTAGTTAGGTAGCTAGTTTGCCTTGTGATTCTACCTCGATTACTTAATGTGTTCAATATGCGGTTACTACAGTTGAGCATTAAGAGGCAAACCACATAATGGTACTATTTGCCAAATAATACGAAGGGCCTAAGTAGCACGTGTACTACGAAGGGCCAAGTCTATGACAATGGGTTAAAGTAGAATGAATTAGATGTATGCAAGAGACTGCCTCACATGAATGCACAGATGTATCCATGTGTGTGTATGCAAAAGTGTGTATTGAACTTACTCTGACTTCAAAATGTTTTTCCCTCCAGCAAATGTTTTCTTTGCACAATTGGATCCTGAGGTAGTTAAATTTAGAATGTAAAGATCAGCTCAGAGAAGCCCATAAAACCAAAATGAAACATAAAGATGACATCCAATGAATCTCAATATCTCATTATGCTAAAATCCTAATAAGAAAAGAATTTCTCTAGTAGGATAGCTGCAAAAGGGTACAAGAACTAGAGAATTCAGGATAATATATTATCAAGTACAAATGAGAGGAATAACCAGTATCAGCATTACATGTTACACCAATTTAGTAGTGTAAGCATCAATGCCCCATATTTTTAACAATTATATTTAATTAGCAAGTCACAAAAAATAAAAAATAGAAATTCCAGGTTCAGATATTGAAGAGAAAAAAGAAATTATCTACATCGGCTAAACAATGAACATGAGTTTATTGAAGTAGACAAAGGTTTAGCTCTTTCAATTTCTGGTTTTACACATTGGACAAGGTTGAATTTTCACACCAAGATTTAGACTTACCATTTCTAGTAGACTTCTGGCTCAATTCACTTTCCCCTTCTGAGTTTCCAGATGAAGATGAACTATCTGATGGAGTGCATGTGCTGGAATTTGAATTTATAGTCCCATTTTCATCGCCAGAACTTTCACTAACATTATCCCAAAACACTGTCCCTGATTTAGCTAACAGACTCTTCTTTGGTTGTGAACTGTTCAAAACTATCCCGGCATTTTTACTGGAAGTAATCTGATTAGCTACATCTGACTGTCGACTTTTATCCCTTCCATTTTCAGTAAATGTCGTGGATCTTTTGGAGCTTGATCCAGCCAAAGATTTGTTGTTTTCCTCCGAACGGGCAGCTGCAGCCCTAATGGCCTCAGAATCATATGCAGAAGGGGTTTCTTCAGGTTTTTGAAGAGTTCCGGTCCCTGCAACATCAGTCTGACTTGAAGCTTTTTCCAGATTTTCAGAAACTTTCAAGGACTTTTTGGTATTGAGCATGACTTCACTGTGATCATGGTTTGATGGTAATTTTTCATGTCTGATAACAGATGTGTTTTCACACTCCTGATTTTCATATGACTTGACTGAGTTTTGAACATTAAGTGTAGCACTCACAGAAGGTGAATCGTGCTTCTTCTTGTTCTTCTCAGCCTTCCTCTTCTGATTTGATTTGGTTGATACTTTTACACCACCACTAGAGGCAACTTTATCCTGTTGTTGACTAGGAATGAAGTAGCTTTTGAAGTTAATCCCTTCATCTTCATTTTCAAAATTATTTACCAGATTGTCAGTTCGAAGATCAGTTTCAGGCATACCCTTAAGCTTCTCCTTCCCAACTTCCATCTCAGAGACAGCCAATTGAGTCGAAGGACTTGCTATGTTTAGTTTTACCTTTGCTGATTCCAACAGATTACAGGTCATTCCAAGTTTATCATTAGAAGCTGTTAAGTCTTCAGCACCAACTTCATGATATTTGATTGGAGAACTTTCATGGTCTTTTGATGCAGTGAGTTGTTTCTTTTCTATTTCCTCTTTTTCCCTTTTATCCATATGTCCTGTACTCTCTTGATTTTTGTGTACTTGATCCAGCTGTGAACTTTTCACCTGTTTTTCTTGTTCGTCGAGAGGAAGATCTCTATAGCAACTATCTGCAGGGTTCAGGTTTCCCCCCTCTATCTTTGTTATTTTCTCGCCCGTAATCTCCGTACTTTGATTTGTTCTACCAGTCTGAGCTAATGGCAATAAATTTTCCTCATTTCCATTAGCATTATCAACTTCCTCAAAAGTATATTCAGCAGAACCCTCCAATGACTTCTTTTTGATTAAGTCTTTTCCTTTGTTGAAAGAAATCCATTGTCTCTTTTCATCGGATGAAGTGCCATTCACACCCTCCTTAGTGGTGTGCTCCATGCCAGAGGGTTCCAGATAAAGGGGATCAGACTTCTTGACTCTCTTTTTCTTCCTACTGCCCCCAGAGCTCCCAGGTTCCACAACAGTTTTTGTATCCAACAACTGTTCTGTAGAAATTGTTTCTTTCAGAGTTATATCTGGTTTATCACAAAATAAAGAGTTGCTATTTGATGGCTGAATTGCTTCAGGGTCATTGTTAATTGACAATCCACTTTCCTGTTCATTGCTTTTACACCAAAGAGTTCGGGTATAATTCTCCACGCTTTCACTTTTTTCAGTACTGTGCTCAATAACTGATGAATCTTGAATTTTTGCAGAAGACTTCCGGGTACTCCTCTTCTTCTTCTTCTTCTTCCTCTTGATTCCAGAAAAGTTAGCTGCTTCAATTGCACCATTGGCATCCAACAGTTTAGCTGAAAGATTTGGTTCTTTGACGGTAACATCTGCTACGCATGGGACTTTTATCAGCTCGTGGTTTGCTATCAAATTTCTCGCATCAATTTCAGTAGTCTGGCAAGTTTCAGATGGGGTCAGGATGCTCTCATTTTTTGCATTATTAAATTCTAAATTTGGCTCATCTGCACAAGTCACATTGTTAGAATGTTTGACATCTGTTTCTTGCAGAATTTTTGCACTTGACTTCTTGGACCTTCTCTTTCTTCCACTGTCATGTCCCCTCTCCCCACAGGCATCTGACTGTTTATCTAGTCGGGCCGATTCTGTGATATTTCCTCCATGATCTTTAGGTCCTAATTTCATAGACTGCATCACTTCAGGGTCATGGTTCAGTGAAAACTCCTTTTGGTTTTCTTCCATATCAGTCTGATCAGTCTCTTCATGATTAACTGCAGGAGCACTTTTGTGTAGAGGGTGATGGGTATAATTTTCTGTGTGATTCCCTCTTCTTTTCTTCTTCCTCTTCTCTGTACTTAAACTTGGCCCCGAAGCATTGCCCTCCAATTGTACAGTTGCAACATCTGATCCAAGCATTTCATGTTTCTCAGCCATAGAGTTTTCGGGAACGTTAATTACACTCTCCAACATGGAATCCTCTTTCCTGTTACCAGAATCTAAATGATTTTCAGTGCTCTGGTTGCTGCCTACTTTATACTCTTTCACTGCAGCAGATTCAAGTTGCAATATTTTGTCAAATACATCACCAACCTCATTCTGAAATTGATCAGTTTGTACGCCAGACAGTGCAGCAGTTACCTCAAGCAGAATATGTTTTCTTTGTTGTGCGTCCTCAGATTCAGGCATACCAACTAAAGAATTTCCAGAGCCAGAAATCTCAGAGCGTGATATTGTATCTTTTGTGGATGCAAGAAATCCTGATCTTTCAAGTTCAAAAGTAGGACCATGAGATCCATCTTTGCCGTGCCTCCTTTTATGCTTCTTCTTGGGAGGGGAAACGGTCCTCAGAGATTGTTCCGCTGAATTATCTCCAGTTTTGTCATCAACCTTCAGCCCAAAAGTCATTTCTGAAACTACATTTGCTTCATCATTACCATCTGACAGAAGCATTTTGAGGGCAGATATCCTGTTTGCATCAGAATACATATCACTAGAATGACCATCAGCAGTTGGAATATTTTGGCTCTTGGATTCACGAATGGGGGGTAGAATTTTAGGAGAATCATCTAGAAGAATGCTTTGTCCATCGCCTCGAGGATATTCGATGGAAAGTAAGTTCCCCTTCCCATCTGGAGCAGAGGATATATTGTTGTCATTAAATTCCTTGAGGCTTGAAGTTTCAGCAGATAGGAACCAATTTCTTTTAATCCCCTCAAATGCACTCCGAACAAGCATGAAGTCTGGCAGATGATAAAAATTCCCTCTGCGTCTTACCTATTTAAATTAACATCATCATCATCAACAAGAATTATACACTTTGAGAAGATAGAATATTAAAATCATTTCACCTTTGACCTTAACCCAAAGGCAACATATTTACCTTCAAAGATTGGATCTTTATCTTCCCAAATTTTGGGAAGCATTTAATGTGCTCCATTGTTATCTTCTCTGCATGACAGAAACTTACCCAAGTTACGAAAACAGCAAATGAAAGTCATTTGACAAAATTAGAAATTTCTAACCAAATTAGCTTTATTAATCACTTTTCAACTTTTTAATTATCCAATTAACAGAAATTCCAGAAAGCCCTTCCTAGCTTCAATCTTTAGACTTCCTTCAAGTTAATTACACCCATATGATAAAATTTGCTAATTTAAACTACAATTAAAATTTATATTTAACTAATACACTACCCTTTCCCATCAATATGATCCTAAAATTGGAAAATTTGATTGAAAATCTTCTCATGTTTCTCCTAGTCAATTCTTTATCTTTTATATAATTCATTCACATCTATAAACACGTGTATTTCACAAGAATGCCCATGTAAGTGCATACACTAATACATCATTTATTCAGAAACTCCATTCAAACTTCAATCTTTAAACTTGGTTCAATATAATTGCACTCAAATAAAAAAATTCAAATTTAAACCAGCATTAACCTCAAAAAAATAAAATTAAACAATGCAGCCAGTCATCAATATATAATATAAGTAAGAAAACTGAGGTAAAAATATCTAATTTTTCACCCAGACAATTCTCATATTTCATAAATATAACCCACCCAAATATAGATTAGTACAAATATAAACTAAATATACCGGTGCATTCAGGTATATAAAGACATCTAAATATACAATACACAAATTGTCACAAGAATTCACATACACATACATGTATGCATTCATAAATGTATGAAATTATTACCTTTGAAATCGGAGACGGTATCGCAGTAGGAGACAAGCATGGCGAGGTGGGTGTCGAGGCTGGTGTCTATGAATACAGTGTTGTACGCTGTTTCTGCTGCTTCCGTTGGTGTTGTACCTATGGGACTAGGATCACGACGTCGTTTCGCCATCGATGATCAACGGAGGCTTACTCGGTCCTTGAGGGTGGGAGTAGAAGGAAGACGAAGCTCAAACACGGCTCCGTAGGGTTTTTTTATTTTTTTGAGGGTTTTATAGGAATTCTTTTTTCATCCGTAGTCCCTTATTTTATAACTTCGAGTATTTGCGTCCCTATTAACTTTGTTCAGTTTTTAGATCAACTTCAAATTGAAGTCGTGTTTGAGTAAGAACGAACTAAATTCATGCCCATGTTTGGTACAAATTAAAATTTGATTTTAATCTCAAGTCAAAGTTAACAATTAATTTTAACTACACATTTCATGGTATCCACAATTTTTCAACAACACATTTCATCCACTTTTATCAAAATCTAATAAAGATCTTATTTTAATCTACAACAAACAGGCGCTAAATGAATCACGTAATTTCACTTTTTATTGTACATATTTCATAATACCATATAAACTGGTGTTAGATAGTGATATTCTATTTTTTACACTAGTTTTGACTTTTTTTTTATCACACTATTCACGAGGGATTGACAAAATTAATAGCATTGGTTAGTTTTTTGGGTGTACTTGGTGAGTTTTGATTGTTTTTCAAATTTTCTTTCAGATTTACTCGCTCTAAAATGATTATTTCTAAATCCATCCTAAACAAAATGAAGCTTAGGGTTCATCTGATTGTAAAAGTGGAATTTTGGTGAAAATAAAATGAATTTCAGGGAATTGAATTGTTTAGAATTGTTTTCCTGAGAATTATCAATTAATTATATTTGATTAGTATAATTTTTTACATGAAAAATATTGAAATTTTGAATCTTTTGATGTTCGCTTGTCTTTGTTTTACATGAAAATTGTCTATTAAAGATATATAATTTGTTATAATTGAGGATATGATTTGTTTCTATTGCCAAAAACATTTTAAAAAATGTAGGAATTGATTTTCCTCAAAATCAATAAATTCCCACCGTATGAGCCAAAATCAAGAAAATGATTTGCCAAGAAAATTAAACTAATCAAATAAGCCAAAACCAAGAAGATGGAAATCAATTTCCAAGTTCTACGGAAATGATGCCAAATCAAACAGGCCTTTAGACAAAAGAAAAGAGATTTCCTTTTAAATAAATCATTCTCACCATAATGCTATCAAAATTCACTTTTCAAATCTTCCATTAAGACCTATTAATTTTCTTGATTATTTCTAAAATATAATTAGCACATGTTTGAGCCTCATTTTTTTTTTTGCTCAAAATGTATTTTATAATGGTATTTTGTTGAAGAATATATCGTTAAAAAATAAGAAAAAGTTTTGAATTTTCTTGTAATATTATTTTATTGAAAAATGTGTGATTAAAAATAAGAAAGAGAAAATTGTAGTTTAAAAATAATAGATATCAAACAAGGGTTTAGTTAGATTATGTAAAGTCATATTAAATTGTAAAAATTGATAAAAATATTTACTTCATATTATTTATATATACTTATATTTTTATTATAAATATATAATTTTATTTTTTTAAAACTTTCAAATTTTAACTTCTAAACAAGACATAGGAGTCCTCGTGGGTGACCAAAGCCCGTTCTTAAACCCCATAATGATACCCAAAACTCTCAAGCAGACTCACGTCTCTCTTCATATATTGAACAAGATTTTTGCACCGATTTTGCCTAGCCAAAGGGTAAAATGTAAAATGAAGTAGAGATATTACATAGAATTCAAATAATTACTTTGAATGTTTTAGCTCATACACCAGACCCAATGTGTCATTTCTGTATATAGACATGCATTAAAACTAATTTCAGAATATCAAGGAACCAGTTAGCAATAATCAATCTATACAATATAAAGTTTAAACAATTGAATTCAAAAAATAACCATCCTTAAAAAATGCAGGAGTTAAGTGTTTCAATATATCTGCAACTTCAAAATCTATAGATCCAATATTTTCTAACACCCTCTTGCAAACTGATGGGAAGGAAAGTTATCATCAGTTTGTTAGGCAGAAAATGAAACTAATGTCCTTTCGTGAAAATATCAGCAATATTGAAAGTTGTGCAGTTCCACCATAACGATACCTAGAAGGGGGTGAATATGTATATTATGTGGAATTAAAAATATTTTACGAATTAAACAGCAACAAGTCACTTTTTAATTCTTCTTTAGATGATTAAACATGCAAGTCATTTTAGTCCTAAATTTGAATACCGTAGTTTATATGATTAATCAATAAATAATAACGAAAGCAGTAAATCAACACCAGGATGATCACGGAAAAACCCAATTGGGAAAAACTCCGGGCACTTTGTCAGGCAATCCACTATAAACAATTCAAACAACTTACAGTTTATCAGTCTAGACGACCTGTACTATCTGATCTCTTGACTGCACTCCTTACAGCTCTCCCTGGATCCTGTGCTCCCCTGCACCAATACGAAGTTGCTGTTGCCAAAGCTCTTAGTAGAATCTGCTACCCTGCAACACTCCTAGCCTTGTAGAATCTTCTATTTCTCGTGGATCAACAAAGAACATCGCGTTCTTCACAGACTGGAACTGCAGTCAAGCTTTCTCGATCTTCAGAACTCTGACCAGATGTAGAGGAAAGACAGTTTGATATTTGGATTATAGAAACGATATTTTTCTCACGAAAATAATCAAAATAGAAGAAAGTTGAAAGATAGAATCGAATGAATCTCTCACAGATGAAGCTATCTCAAATGTTCAACCTTACCATTTTCGTACAGAAGTGTTTTGGTATATATATGTAGGTTAGAAAAACGAATAAGACAGATAAAAAGTTTTTAAACCACGAAATAAAAATTTCTTGAATAACCACTTCCCTCGAGCGAGCGCTCAGCGAAGGTCGAGCGACATACGAGAAAGGGGCAAAAGTCCAGCTACAATGTTTCTGCTTTTGTAGCTCAAGCCAAACCTTGCCGACAGTCTAGCGAAAATTCGCGCCGTTTTCCTCTTTTTGCCATTCTCGAACCCTAGATAACCTTATTTTCAACTATTTGCACATTACTCCTTGACTTTTTAAATATAGTACAATTCAATCCTTTTATTTATAGAATTGCCAATTACAAAACATCTAAAACCTAACAAACTCCCCATTTGGTATTCTGTGACAAAACTACTAACTAAGTCAAGACAGTAATAAAAAACAAATTACAGGCTCAAAAACCTATGATACAACTAACTGACTTGAACGAATTCTGCATTTTAATCAGTACATGTTTCCTGAAACAAATAACTTAACACCTAGTGTAAAATGTGTGGAAGACAGTATATAAAACAATTCAAGTAGTTTACATAATTTAGGCAATCTAGAAACATATGATGTTATTTAGTTTCAATCTTGTATGCTAAATCAAGACATAATATTAATGCAACCTAATATACCACGAAGACACATTGATACCACTAAAACATTAAACTTCATTTAGCAGATCTGAAACAAAAATATAAAATGTCTTTGAGTCAAAATCATTAT